GAGAGAGAGAGAGAGAATAGATTGGTCTCCATGTCCGAGGGTGTATTTGATTTCAATCATGATTTAAATCAATTTAATTTAAATCATGATTTAAATCACTAGTCAGGAAGACTCGATTTAATCATGGATTTCTACATAAAAGTGCATTCTTGTTGGTTGTTATAACCTTATTACATATTCTTCACAACTCAGAGATAGATGTAGGTTTCATTTTTAGAAGGTATACACTATACATTTTTAAGTGATTTACTTTGAAAACTTTTCAGATTAGTTTTACAGCTGTATATCAGAAAATGAATGATTGGTTGGTTATTTCATTTACCAAAGGTAATTGAAGCAGATATTTATGAAGTCACTGGGAGGTGAACTATCTCCAATTCAATGGGTTAATCATTAATATTTGGAGGATTTTCTTGCCATGCTGTATTAGGAGGAGAACATCACCAGACAGACATTGTTTTATTTAACTAAGACAACAATGTTATGTATTCTAGATTTTTTTCTTCAACAGCAAACACATAATATTTTAACAAAACAAGCATATGAATTTCTGAATTTAGTTAAACATTCAAGCTTTTTAAAATCAGGTTTGTTTTTGTTAAAATTGTTTATAACTAAAATAGATAAATGAAATATTTAAAAAAAAACCAAAAAATAAATTGACTAATTAACATGAGAAACTCAAAATATTGGCTTCTGCAGCTAACTCAGTCGTCTTCGCCTTCATTTTCCTGTTTGTTCATAATCTGGAAGAGAAAAACAAGCTTTCCTGCTTGTTCAGGTCCCAAACGATTTCTCAATTTGGAATGAATTAGTCCAAAGGAAGAAAATATTCTTTCTACACCGGCAGAAGAAGCTACTGCTGTTAAAAGTGAGATTATCACTTCAACAGTCTCTGAATCCAAGTGCTTAAGTGACTTCCACCAGTTCACTGGTGTGACTTGCTTTAAAACATCATCAGCAAACATATATTTCTTTCTTGAATGGTTCTTATTCCCAAACTGGGTCTCTTTTACAGCCTGCTGCCATTATAGGTTTTCCCTTCTAGTGAGAGAATGGTATGGTAGATCTCAAATCAATGAAGGCTACACTCAGAAAGACCTCAAGACTCCTGGAATATGCTGCTCAAACAGTTTCACTTTTGTTTCTACTGCCTGTCCCTCCCTTCTCACATTTATCTCTAGACTTCTTCTCCTTGTCCAGATCTATTCTGCCCCCAACAATCTTCTATTCATTGAACTTTTTGAAACTTTGCACTTTTAGAGAGAGGTAAGGGATTGACTCTGTGTACGCAAATTTGCAGAGGGACAATAGGGTTGAGGTCTGTTATTTCTCACCTCTACATATTATTTATTTGTTTATTTATTTAGTTAAATAAGGAATTATTTCAGCTCAGTACTAATGTGGACACGAGAACGAATGGATATAAACTGGCCGTGGGGAAGTTTAGGCTTGAAATTAGACGAAGGTTTCTAACCGTCAGAGGGGTGAAATTTTGGAACAGCCTTCCAAGGGAAACGGTGGGGGCGAAAGACCTCCCTGGCTTCAAGATTAGGCTAGATAAGTTTATGGAGGGAATGGTTTGATGGGATAACGTGATTTTAGTCAATTAGGCAATAACGTGCCATCGCTGGTAAAATGTGGGTCCGGCTGGAGAATCTTGCCTGTATGCTCGGGGTTCTACTGATCGCCATATTTGGGGTCGGGAAGGAATTTTCCTCCAGGGTAGATTGGCAGAGGCCCTGGAGGTTTTTCGCCTTCCTCCGCAGCATAGGGCAGGGGTCGCAAGCTGGAGGATTCTCTGCGACTTGAAGTCTTTAAATCACGATCTGGAGACTTCAACAGCTGAGATAAGGGAAAGTGGGTGGGTCAGCTTTTGTGGCCTGCATCATGCGGGAGGTCAGACTAGATGACCATAATGGTCCCTTCTGACCTTAAAGTCTATGAGTCTATAAAAACATTTTTGCTGTTAACAAGCATGTTATCTCTGGAGACACAAATCCACAGTTTGAGAACTGCAAAACTAAGTATCTCTGATGGTATCTTCTAGACTGAGCACTGAGTTCCATTGGGTAGATAGAAAGATTATCCTAAATAATCTATACAGAAGCCCGTGGAACCCTATAAGATTGGGTCCCTAATCCATGAACTATTTGAACTCATTTACAAAACTTTTCTTAAACATTACATGAATATATTGTCTCATACTATAGAATTAGAATTTATAATCCCTATTCCATGCTGAAATCTTTGAGCTATAATGTATCTTAATTAAAACTATCTTTAAATAGGTTTTTCTTCAAAAAGCATGTTATCAAAATAATCCGATTTAAATAAAAAAAAATCTGTTTTTGTTTTTTTTTAAATCATTGATTTTTATCCACCCTGCTCAAAGATGCACTCAGGAAACATGGGGGCTTGATCCTCCTCTGCCTCACACCTTGTGTAGTTATTTGCACCTGTGCAAAGTGGGTGTACAAAGATGCTGTCGGCAGAGATTCTGATTTGACAGCATTTTGCACTCAGATGTAGATGAATACACAAGGTGCAGGGCAGGGGAGAATCATATTTCCTAAAGAGCACCTGGCTTTTTCCAAGAAGCTGTGAAATACCTTAGTTTAAAAGTGAGAAACGCAGTCACTGGGACAAATTTGTCCCTGGTATTATTGGAGTTTACAGCAGCGATGCATAGGGCCCAATGTCTTTTCCAAGGAAGTCTGCCTAGGATCTGTTCTATGAACTACTGTGACCCCATCCCCTTTCACTGCCTTATGAACCCTGGTGCCATATTACTTTCTCTACCAGACCCGGGACACTTGGGGCCACATTTCTCAGTGTATTTAGGTGCCTAAAGATACAGATAGGGGCCTAATGGATTTTCAAAAACATTTACGAGTTTGGCGCCTGGAGAGACAAAGTGGAGGAGGTGATATCTCTTATTGGATGAATGTCTGTTGGTGAGAGACAAGCTTTCAAGCTATACAGAGCTGTAGGTCTGGGAAAGGTCCTCGGAGTGTCACAGCTAAATACAGGGGTGAACAGAGAGTTTAGCACAGCGGCTCTCAACCTCTCCAGACTACTGTACCCCTTTCTAGAGTCTGATGTGTCTTATGTACCCCCAAATTTCACCTCACTTAAAAACTGACAAAATCAGACATAAAAATGCAAGTGTCACAGCACACTATTCCTGAAAAATGGCTGACTTTCTTATTTTTATCGTAACAATATAAAATAAATCAATTGGAATATAAACATTGTACTTACATTTCAGTGTCTAGCATACGGAGCAGTAGAAACAAATCGTTGTCTATGAAATGTTAGTTTGTACTGACTTTGGCAGTGCTTTTTATGTAGCCTGTTGCAAAACTAGGCAAATATCTAGATGAGTTGATGGACCACCTGGAAGATGTCTGAGTACCCCCAAGGGTACACGTACCCCTGGTTGAGAACCACTGGTTTAGCGTAAGTAGTTAGCGCATATTCTAAGGGGCCATTCAAGGTGTCCGGTTGCTTTTGAAAATCCCACTAGATGCCCATCTGTGGCGCTTGGCCCCTACACACCTTTGGAAATCTGGTCCTTGGTCACTTTCAGCATGTGACTCAGCCTGCGCCCAGAATGGGACTTGGGAGGAGTAATGGCTCAAAAAGCATTTTATCAAAATAATCCAATTTAAATTTAAAAAATCCGATTTTTTAAAAAAAAGCATTGATTTTTATCCACCCTGCCACGGCCCATTCAGTCATTGGCTTCCACTTCTCTAACGAGACCATCAATCTGCACCAGATTTTGGGACCTGACTCCTGAGAACTAGACTGAGCCCCACCAAACCACACTGAGATCATTACTACTACTTTTAATTTCGCCTTTAGTTTTATTTAACTCGATCCCTCCCACCCCCACTGGAATGCCAGGTAGCAATCAAAGCATGCAGGCTCACCAGCGCAGGTGTATGGAACCTTTCCCATAAGAAAGCTGTTCCGGAGACTAACCTTTCCACTGTTGGATAAGCTGGTGGGCAATGTGACAATTCAGAGAAGTCACTCCTCCTGACAGTCTTTCCGCTCTCTGAAATCACATTCTCGGCCGGAATTCTTTTTCACCTGATCTCTCAGCATTTCAGATTTAAAAAGTACCCACCTCCCCAGTGACGCCAACCACAAAATAATGTTATAAAGACTTACATAAGTTTGCGGCTCCTATAGTCCAGGTGGGAAAGCAGGATTTGACTGCAAACAGAAAGGAAAGGAGAAAAGATCTCACACATCTGAACAGGCAGCCGTGGGGGGAAGGATAGCTCAGTGGTTTGAGCATTGGCCTGCTAAACCCAGGGTTGTGAGCTTGATCCTTGAGGGGACCATTGAGGGATCTGGGGCAAAAAGCTGTCTGGGGATTGGTCCTGCTTTGAGCAGGGGATTGGACTAGATGACCTCCTGAGGTCCCTTCCAACCCTGTTATTCTATGATAAACAGGCAGAGTTAAAACAAAAGTGTGCTTACAGATTCCATAAGAGCCACACTTCCAATTCTTAAAGGTAACCCACTCGTTCTTTTAACTGTGCCTTACTTGTGTGTAATGATTTTAAAAGTCTGTAAACCACACCAGTGGTTTAAAGTGGGAGGAGGAGGAGGAGGTTCCAATGACAATTTTGAAAGGGGATATAGCAAGCTCCCTATTTAGACATTTGGTTAATAAAAGCTTTCTCTCTGTGCTGCCTAAAGAAGAGCCACCGAGCCAAATTCTGTTCTTAGTGACACCCACGGAACCTCACGGAATTCCGAGAGCAGAGTTTTCAGCAGCGACACACAACAAAGAAAAGGGCCCAAAAGCACTAACCACTGGCCTAATTCTACTCTCCTTGACAGCAATGGAAGTTGAGGGTCCTCAGCACCTCACAGGATTGGACCCCAAGACAATCATTTCACATTAGTATCCATCCAAAAGCACCAGTCTGGAGTCTTAATATCGCGCACACATGAATGAGAAGGGTACAAAAGTTGGCTGCTCTAGTTCTTCCTAAACTGGCCTTAGCAGACCTGGAATATTGGGCTGGGCCATGTTCTGCTCTCAGTTACATTGATGTAATAAAATCCAGACTAACGCTATTCAAGCAAATTGAATTATTTTCTACTTACATGGTGTAAAAGAGAACTCTATTTAGCCCACTGAATCAAGCAGAAAATTTTCCCTTCAATTAATACCAATGGATTCAGCATCACTATGGGCTTGTCTACACTACAGGCCGGATTGATGGGCAGCGATCAATCCAGCGGGGGTCGATTTATCGTGTCTGGTATAGACATGATAAATTGACCGCCGATTGCTCTAGAGTCAACGAGAAGCGCAAGAGGAATCAATGGGAGAGCGTCTCCTGTTGACACACCACAGTGAAGACACCGCGGTAAGGAGATCTAAGTACGTCGACTTCAGCTACGTTATTCATGTAGCTGAAATCACATAACTTGGATCGATCCCCCCGCATAGTGTAGACCAGCCCTATATGTTGATCCAGGATAGAACTGTGTACCGGGAAAGCTGCATTGGTCTGAAAAGTGAAAGACAATCTTGGTACTTAACAAATAAAAGAATAGCCACTAGGAGGCACTAGCAACACAGAAAACAAATGTATCTTTGTGAATGTACAAATTAACCCTGAAAAAGTCATGAAGAAAGCCCAGACAGTGATATTTTTTTCTCTCCTTTGGCATACTGCCATTATTGTCTTTGCATGCTCTGATAATATGTTTCTTTCTGATAAAATTACTCAGAATCCTGTGGCTACTGAACAATTCTTGCTTCAGATTTTTTGTGGGGTGAAGAAATAAATATAGCTTGTCAGATTTGCTCTGTTTTCCAACTTTGGTTGATACAATCCAACAAAAGGAACAAAGTGCAAAAAGGAAGTTAGATTAAACACTTACGATCCCAGCTGCTCTAGGACTCCAAGCACCTCGGGTCTAAATATTATGAAAAAGAAAAAATTAGTCCAAAAGGCTTGAATTAACAGTCCGGTCTGAATGGCAAAATCAGCTGACAGAAGCAATGTGGTCTAGTGATTCCAGCACCCATCTGGGAGTCAGGAGACCTGGGTACACACTCTTCCACGAGCTTGATACGCAAGCTTGGGCAAATGTCAAAGGGCCAGATTCTGCCACCCTGACTCACAGTGAGAAATAGCTTATTCCATGAGTTCTGGGAACTGGGAGTACGCATGAAGTAAGGTACGGTGCTCCCCAACGTGAGCAAATATGGCCCTCATCTGGCCCGAATTCAAGAAAGCAACCCTGTTTATATGCTTATATAAGCATATGCTTATATCCCATTTAAGTGAAAGTGAAAGTGACGCATGTGCTTAGTAGCTTTGCTGTATTGAGGCTTCAGTTTGTGATTCCATTTCCCCATGTTATCAACAAAGATAATACTTACAAATGCCTTCTCATCAGACCATGAGTATTTACTATTAAAAGTACTGATGCAGAAACAGTTACGTGAACTAGACAGATTGTTAGGGTAAGATACGCTGGACATATTTAGACACTCTAAGCAACAGATTTCCACACTAGTGATGACACGCACCCTCCCAGAGAACATGCTGGAATTGCATTCTCAATCCTGCTCTTCTTCCCCTAAATATTTCTGTTTAAATTGATGATTCTTTAAAAAAAATTGTATTTTATACATATATGGTCATGAATTTTCCAGCCGTTATTATTCCAAACTAATGGTGACAGCACTGGTAGCAGACAGGTGTAGGGGTAAATACCATGAGAGTTTCCTCAATATTCCTGTGATAGTCCTTTTAATTCACTGCTAGAATCTTCAATGTGTGTCAAATAATGAGCTAGTTCTGTTCGGTAGCCCCAGTGTTCACTAGGACTAGATTGCACAATCAAAATTATTTCAACCTTGACTTAAAAAACTAGATTTGAACCAGATCCTGCCCTCTTTCCTTGAATCCTCAGATGAATTCCTTGCCCAATGCATCAAAAGTACATATCAGACATTAAACTGATAAGAACAGATACTACACTTGACCACAGCTCAAAGAGCCGAGAAGTAAACCAGGATCTGCAATGGAGAATCAGTGGGGAAAGAGATTAAAGGCCATGAGCCAAGGGCAGCCCTGGAGTATAGAAAATTTAGCATCCATTAAAGTTCCTCGGAATTACACCCGGTTATTTTGGTACTTGATTCAGCCCAATGTCTAATTCACCAGATAAAGCAGTGAGAAGACTCTGCCCCTTCCCTTTTGCTCAAACATCAGTGGGGGGAAATCTATACACAACAGTAGGATTATTGCAAAGAAACAGGAATCATAATATGGGAAAACAATGAGGGGCTTTAGTTTTTCAGTTAGGTTACAAATTAAGAACGCTCAAATGCACCTGTAAAATTTGATTCAATAAGACAATCGCTGTATATTAAATACTAACTATTCCAGGTATCTTTGTGAAGGATTAAATATATGTCATATACTAGATTATGAAATATGTATGTCATTGTGCACGGTTATATTTTGCTCTGGGCATGGAAAATCTTATTATAAAAGTGGGTTTCTTAATTACTAGAATCTAGAGGGTTCTTTTTATTCTCCTAAGTCATTTATATTTCCCCCCCAGCCCCACACCCACCCCAGGAAACACCTTAGATGTTATACAAATCAAATAATCTGGACAATTCTCCCAGAGATACCCTTAGTTGTAAGGACATTTCCAAAAGAAACTGATCTTATTCATAATACTTCATACTTCTCTAAGGAATTGCACATATCCAAGGATCTCACAGTACTTTAGGAACATTAACTAATTAAGCTTCACAACACAATCCTCAGATTACTTTACCCAGCACTCAATTACCAGCACACCAATGGCTGCAGTTTATCTGAGCACCGCCACACTGTAAAACGGCAGAGGATACCTAAAAAGAATATTGTGTCCAACTGAAAGTACAGAGAGAATTCCCGCAGGAAGAATTAATTTACCTACATTGGAATCTGGACAGGAAAGGAGGGTTCACACCCCTAACTTTTGCAAGAAGAGCCAGGATCTTTAACACAGAGAAGGGGTCAGCACCCAGGTTTCACATCTGATTTGAAAGACAGTTCTTGCAGCATCATAGCGTTTATAAATGCCTGGCTGCTGTCTCTTGCTCACATACTCAGGTCAGATTGATTGCTGGAGTTGGGGTTGAGCAGGAATTTTCCCCCAGATCCGATTGGCTGGGACCTGGGCATGGGGTGGGAAGTTGCCTTCCTCTGCAGCACAGAGTGCAGTTCACCTGCTGAGATCATCTAGGCACATCTCACCAAATTATTCCCTGTCATTGCAAGGGCCTCAGGCATTGGTGACAGTTTTGTAAACGGACCACTCAGTGCACAAGAACACACTTTGCTTACAGTACTGCAGGCTGGGAACTTGCTGCTTTTCTCAACTATATACAGACTAACTAAACAGGAAATAAGGGGAGCATGGAGCATGGCTCAGACCATAATACTCTGAGCCAGTGGCTCTCAACCTTTCCAGACTACTGTACCCCTTTCAGGAGTCTGATTTGTGTTGCGTACCCCCAAGTTTCACCTCACTTAAACCCTATTTGCTTGCAAAATCAGACATAAAAATACAAATGTGTCACAGAACAATATTACTGAAAAACTGCCGACTTTCTCATTTTTACCATATAATTATAAAATAAATCAATTGGAATATAAATATAGCACTTACATTTCAGTATACAGAGCAGTATAAACAAGTCATTGTCTATATGAAATTTTTGTTTCTACTCACTTTGCTAGTGCTTTTTATGTAGCCTGTTGTAAAACTAGGCAAATATTTGATGAGTTGATGTACCCCCTGGAAGATCTCTGTGGGAGTACGTGTACCCCTGGTTGAAAACCACTGCTCTGAGTAACCCAGTTAACCCCTTAATCAGGGCCGGTGCTACCATTAAGGCAAACTAGGCGGTTGCCTAGGGCGCCAAGATTTGGGGGCGCCAAAAAGCAGTGCCCCAATTTTTTTTTTACAGCGTTCCTGGGCTGGGCTGCCGGCGGCACGTGGACACGTGCGGCTCAGACTCCCTCTCCCAGCGCAGCGTCCGCTCCACTTCTCCCGCCTCCCAGGCTTGTGGCACCAATCAGCTGTTTGGCGCCGCAAGCCTGGGAGGGGAGGAGAATTAGAGCGGGGACGGCATGCTCGGGGAGGAGGCGGAGCAGAGGTGAGCTGGGGTGTGGAGCTGCCGCACGACTCCCCGGGGGTGAGGGGAGCTGCCGCGGGGGAGGGCGCCTCAGGGCGGAGCGGGGAGCTGCTGCAGGGCTGGGGGGGAGGGGGCGCGCAAGGTGGAAGTTTCGCCTAGGGTGCGAAACTTCCTTGCACCGGCCCTGCCCTTAATGACCACTTTACTACAGGCAGTTTGGTTTCTCCCATGACACACACTTTAGTTTCCAGAGGACTAAAATGTTATGGTCTAACTAAAGTCTTTGTACTTAATACAGAGATCCCTGGGTAAAAACTAATGGCCCTCTGATATTCAGAAGGTCAAACTGGATGATCTGATGGTCCCTTCTGGCCTTAAAAATACATGAAACAATTAAGCCTCTTCTAACCCCCTACGGAGTCATTTGTCTAGTACTGACTCAGAGAGAATCAGAATCAGCGACACCACTGGTTCTTTGTAGGCACCTACAAGTTCCTTGTAGGTCTCCAATCCGAGCATGGAATCCAGTCCCCTGACTTTTCATACTTAATGGGTTTATAACACAAGGTGGTCTGTCTGTAGACTCATTACTATTTCCCTGAAAGGCTTGCCTCCAGTTCAGTAAATATGGGAATACATCAGAGGATTTTTTTTTACAAGTAAAATATTGGGTTTAAGAACCAACGGCCCAATCCTGCAAGGACCCCAATGATTCCTGAAAGGACCTGAACATCCTCCTCCCACACTGAGCTCAGAGCTCACTCAGTTCACTGGCATTTTTCCCACTGTTGGTTTAGCTTAGTTGCAGTTTCATTGGTGGCAGCAAAATTGGAAGCACTAGCACAGACAGGCATTGGCTTTTTATCATCTTGGAGCATGACATGGCAATAAAAAAATACCTGCACTCTGATCACGCTAGCGTTTTCCCCATTGTCAGTCTAACACTGGTAAAGCTCCACCACTAGGAGCACTAGTGGGGACAAGGCCGGTTTGAGATATTCAGCAACTCACAGGATGTACTCAGATTCCCACTGGTCATGCCCCAAATCTCTGCAAATACTAGAGTTTCTCCAGTTCCCCTCGTGGTTCTGAAACACAATAATACATGCAATCGGCACTTACAGCAGTATCTTGGAAGCTGATGATTGCGACGTCCACACCCCCAGACACACTAAGGTAGTTCACTTTGGAAAGTGGAATCCGGTGCTTGTACTCCACAAAGTGCTTTCCATTTACAGCAACCTGTCGTGTGTAAAAAGCAGAAGTTATCCTTTTGGAATAAAGGATAATGTCTCATGCCCATAAGAAAATGTAACGTTTTACAAAAATCTAGTGCAAACAATTTAAAATAAACCAACACTTCGCTGCAGCTTTTGCAACTGCAAAACTGCAGCACTGTGCTAGTGCCTGAGAACCCAAAAGCGAAATCTACTAGAAACTGACTAAGAACTCACGCAAAACTGACTAGTCTTTGAATTATCTAAATGGATTAAGGCCACAATCCTGTAAACACATATGCGCATGCTTAACTTTACTCATCTGAGCAGTCTCATTGAAGTCAATGGGGCTTCTCACATGTGTAAAATTAAACATGGGCACAAGTGTTTCCAGCATCAGGGCCTAAAATGCAAAAGTAAGCACAGAGTTTTAGTCCATTCCCATTCCAATAAAAGGAAAGACTCCCATTAAAGATTCACTTTAAAAGGGAATTGTTTTAATATAACTCTTCAGATGTGAGAATGTTCCTTGATTCAGCAGAATAGCCATTTTATAATTAATTTGCAAGTAAAATACAGTATTAAAAAAAATTACCTGGAATGAGTCGTGTTTTACCAAAACCCGAATCTCAAAGGGGTGACCTTTTAAAAAAGGCATTTCATCTTTCCTCTCCTCTCTTCCCCAATTCTGTCTTTCTTGAGTATTGCAAACCACACATCCACCCTCTTCAAATCGTGGGTTAAAATGAAAAGCAACATCAGGACTTGGGCAGGATCCACACTGAAAGTCTATCTTGAAGCTGTGAAGGAAAAAAGTACAAAGTTGAACTAAACTGAGCACGGTTATGAAATCTAGGCTATGGCTACACTTGCAGATGTAGCGCGCCGGGAGTTAAACCAGCCCTCGGAGACAGCAGCAGGGAAAGCGCTGCCGTGTGTTCACACTGTCAGCTGCAAGCGCACTGGCATAGCCACATTTGCGGCACTTGCAGTGGCATTCGGAGTGGTGCATTATGGGCAGCTATCCCACAGAGCACCTCTTCCCATTCTGGTGCTGAGGATTGTGGGATGGGAACAGAGGGGGGAGGGGGCCATAGGGCATCCTGGGTCCTGTCCCAATGCCCCATGATGCATCGCTTTGCATCCCAGCAATCCCTGTGCTTCCATCCACATTTGGCACCATCTTTCAGCGGTTTTTGTATTGTGCGCTCTGTCTTCCCTTTCGGTCTGCGGGAATGGATCCCGAACTGGTGAGGAATATGCTGATGGGTCTCGCCAGTACGTCACGAATTGCAGTCGAGTTACTTCTTAAGCTACAAAGTGACAGTGAGGAGTCCGACGGTGATGTTGACACGTTTAACGCATATGACACGAGATTGCTTGTGGCATTCACAGACATACTCACCACCATGGAACGCCACTTTTGGGCTTGGGAAACAAGCACTGAGTGGTGGGATCACATTGTCATGCAAGTCTGGGATGACGAGCAGTGGCTGCAGAGCTTTCGGATGAGGAAAGCCACTTTTATGGGCCTGTGTGCTGAGCTCGCCCCCACCCCGCGCCGCAAGGACACGAGATTGAGAGCCACCCTGCCGGTGGAGAAGCGGGTGGCTATTGCAATCTGGAAGCTGGCTACTCCAGACAGCTACCGATCGGTCGCTAACCAGTTCGGAGTGGGCAAGCATACAGTTGGAATTGTGTTGATGCAAGTGTGCAGGGCCATTAATCGCATCCTGCTCAGAACCGTGACTCTGGGCAACGTGTGTGACATTGTGGCTGGCTTTGCACAAATGGGTTTCCCTAACTGCGGAAGGGCGATAGATGGCACGTATATTCCAATTCTGGCACCAGACCACCTAGCCGCCGAGTTCATAAATCAGAAGGGGTATTTCTCGATGGTTCTCCAGGCGCTTGTGGATCACCGTGGGCGTTTCACGGACATAAACACAGGCTGGTCCGGAAAGATGCACGACGCACGCATCTTTCGGAACACTGGCCTGTTCAGGAAGCTGCAAGCCGGGACTTTCTTCCTGGACCAGAAGATCACCATAGGGGAAGTCGAAATGCCCATTGTGATCCTTGGAGATCCCGCTTACCCTTTAATGCCATGGCTCATGAAACCATACACACGGAGCCTTAACAGCAGCAAGAAGCAGTTCAACAACAGGCTGAGTCGGTGATCTTTGGCCGTTTAAAGGGCCGCTGGCGCTGTCTGTATGGGAAGCTGGACCTGGCCGATAAGAACATCCCTATGGTTATATCGGCATGCTGTACCCTCCATAACATTTCTGAAGGGAAGCATGGACTGCAGAGGTTCAAAGCCTGGAGGCTGAATTTCAACAGCCAGAGACCAGGGCTATTAGAGGTGCACAGCGCAGGGCTATTAGAGGTGCACAGCGCAGGGTTGTAAGGATTAGGGATGCCTTGAGGGAGCAATTCGATGCTGAAAGCCACCAGTAATGTTTGGTGCCCTGCACAGGAGTGGAGTGAAGTGAAGTTGTTCCAATGCTAGTAGGCATCTGTGTTGGCTATGTATGATGCACTGACTAGCAGTGCCTGTTGCTTTCCTGGGCTATGCTATCTTTTACTTAATGCAATAAAGAATGTTTCCAAAGCCAAAAAAATCATTTATTGAAAAGAAACACAACTGCTGGAGAAACACACATGGCATGACACATCTGTGCTGTGTGGAAAGAGGAAAGGGGGCGTGGTGGGTAACAGAACCATCACAGATTTGCGTATGTCCTGTTATCATATTCAGCATTCCTGTCTGGAGTGCCATACAATGAGTGCTGCACTGCAGGCTGGCTAAAATGCATGGTGATGGGGGTTGAGTGCAGTGGGTAAAGGTCGTAGTTTGCAGGGCTGGGCAGTGAAGCTAAAGGTGTTGGAGGCAGCTGGTGGCAATAAGAAACCAGATGTTGGGGAAACTGGGTTGGCAGTGACATAGGAGTGCAAGGGAAAAGTGTTCTGGGACAAGAGCTGCAGGGATGAGCGGGTGCGGATCTACTCCGTATGCAGTGCTACGAGTCTGCTTGCGCTCAATAATGCTTAGGAGCCGCTCCATGGTTTGTTGCCGGCGATTTGCATTCTCCTGGCGGACCCTCCTTTAGTTTTTGATTTCCAGTAAGGGACTGCTGCATGACTTCACGCAGAAGGTCCTTCTTGCTTCTTCGCAGCCGCTTCCTAACTCTTCGCAGCCTTTCGGCCATTGATAACAAGGACAGCTGGGATCTCAAGGTTGCATCTGTAAAGCCAAAATGCAACATTTAACAGAGCAGCATTGTTAACACTAGACAGAGGAATGATTCGGCCGAACTTAAAGACAAGCACAGTGCACACAACAGCACAAGCTGCCTGTCCCAAGGCGAGCGCACGTAACCCAAAAGAGCCCCGAAATGGTGAGTAACCACAGAGGTGGGGGGGGACTGATTGTTCCAGGCCTGTACTGTCCTCTGGGATCCTGTGTCTTGGGGAGAGCCAACAGCTGCAGGGGGACCCTATACTCAACACTGTCCCCACATTTTCAAGAGGATGGTTTCGTGCTGGCAGATATCTCGCTGCTGAAGGTGATCTCAGAAGCAAGGGAGGGTCTTCTGCAACAATGCAGCTTCCGTCCTGGCCCTTATGCGGCTTGCATGTGTGCAGCAGTGGTCCACCCACCCCCCCACAGCACAGTAGTGCGGACATGTTAGCCTTACTGGGACAAGGAGCACAGTAGCTCTGCCAAAGAACCTGCGCAAGCGGATTGCCCAGCTTCTGCATGAGACCTTCAGTTAGATCACTGAGGCTGATTACCGTGATGTGAGAGAGCACATCAACACCCTATTCTGCATCTAGGCATGCACGCAGCCCTAACTCTTCTTTCTGCAACCTTCCTCACCGCAACATCCCACACCCAGCAGCTCCCTTTTAAAAATAAAAGCCGCTTACCGGGCACCTCCTTTGCTGTTTGTTCTTCCCCAAGCACCGTCCGCTGCGACTGGCTACCTTCCTCCTGGCTTGAAAACAGCTCCTGGCTGCATGCATCTAGGGATGCCGGGCCGTCCTCTGCCTCTGGGCCCCCCTCCTCCTCAGCACCCTCGCTCCTGTTTTCCTTCTCCTGCCTTGTTGCACTCTGGGCTGCCACGGCCTCTGAAGTGTCCATGGTGCTCTTCGCAGTGGAGGTGGGGTCGCCCCCAAGTATCTCGTCCAGCTCTTTGTAGAACTGGCAGGTCGTGGGGGCAGCACCGGAGTGGCGGTTTGCCTCCTGCACTTGTGGTAGGCATTCTGCAGCTCCTTCACTTTAACCCTGCACTGCAGTGCGTCCCGGTCATGGCCCCTTTCTATCATGGCCCTTGATATCTGCCCGTAGGTATCGTAATTCCTACGGCTACAGTGCAGCTAGGACTGGACAGCTTCCTCCACCCATACCCTGATGAGGTTCAGCACCTCTCCATTGCTCCATACTGGGGATCGCCTGGTGTGTGGAGGTATGATCACCCAGAAAGATGTGCTGAGAGCACTCCATGCCTGCTGAGCAAACAGGAAGGGGACTTTCAAAATTCCCAAAGAATTTAAAGGGCGGGTCTGGTGGTTGGTCACCTGAGGGCAGGGCAGTAGAATTCAAAGTGATGACCAGAGTGGCTAGAACAGGCATTGTGGGACACTTCCTGGAGGCCGATCAGAGCGCATTCATAGACCAGGGTGTCCACGCTGGCACCGCGGCACTCCAGCAGGGGCGCGGCAAGCTCTATGCTTCTCATGGAGGTGGATTACCAGGGGCACTCCAGCTGCGGAGTCCGGGCGCTCTACGTCCCTTACCAGAGTGGACACCTCAGGAGTTATAGCGCCCGGGGCTGATTTAATGCGCTCTAACTTGCAAGTGTAGCCAACCCCCCCGTGTGCTTTCACTGGTATCCAAAATAGTCTTTATGGAGGCGTCTGCTCCCTCTCAAAGATGTCTCTTCTGTCATTACAACATTTCTGCACAGAAAGTCTAAAGCAACATAGTAATTTATGATCACAATCTAGTCTATTGTGAAAACAAACAACAAAAACCTCATAGTGTTCAGACTTAGTAGCTAAGCTTAGTAGTTAACTGATTTTATCCTGCTGAAAACCAACTAAGGTTATGATCCTCCAAACGCTTAATTCTGGGCAGAGACTTTTTTACCATGACTGGTCCCACTGAAGTTATTGGAATTAATCATAATGTTTAGGACTATTCCCGGTAGTAAATATTTGTAGGATCAGGGCTCAAACGAACAACTTGAATATTTACAATGCATGTTTCAACGCTACTGAGCCTATTGAGATATTTCCAGTGTTTTAACCGACCTTCCTTCTGAGGTAACTGCGTGACGGGCACATTATTAAGATTGGAACTGTTTATTGTTGCGATAGCACATCTCTCAAAGGTGCATTTCCTATAGTATCAATTATAGTAACATCAGGCCTGATCTTGCAAACCCTATCCCTTCTCGTAGTCCTGCTGATTTAAAGTAGTAAAAATTACTCAAGAGAGTAGCAGCTTGAAGGACCAGGCTCTTATTGGGAGACTAGGTTGGAGGAGACAAAGGGATGTTTTGGTTGCACTATTTTCATAAAGGAACCTAAAGCTAATAATGTGACTAGTTTATGTTCTACCAAAAGGTGTGAACTCTAACTTGCCTTTTTAAAGCCCCAATACAGGAAGGTATTTAATCTCAAATATTCCTCTGAACAGAGATGGGATTACTCATGTGTTTAAGGTTCAGCAAGTGCTTTACTGAATTGGGGATTATATTCTGTGTGCATTAAAGATGGTCAGCAGAAAGAGTACTGTATTGCAGTGACGTTAGTTGTATGTCTAAATCCAGTAATGCATACACATTCACCTACAGTATTTGTGCATAAAATCTTTATATCTCTGGACACCAACGAGACAGAGAATATCAATTCTATGACACATATAGACTCTGATCCAGGAACTCAAAACGCTTTCGAATTTGGATCTCTGAGCTGTCAGCAATGCACAGTTCACCATCTTTTCATACCTGATCTCTGCACGCTCTCAAAGCCGTATCCGAACGACTCTGTGTCAACAGGTTAGAACTGGATCAGTATTTCTGGGAATGGGGGAAACTTTAGCACAGACAAATTCCTCTGAGTCACTAGAGCTAACCTCCTAACCTCTTCCTGGTCATGCTCCAGGGAGTGGAAACATTCCAATATTCTCAACAGTTGATTTTAGGCACAGGAGTGGAGCAGCCGTATCCCTACAAGCACACACCTGTCACATGTAGGATGAACAGTTCCACTGATGATAACCATCAATCCGTCACGAAGACCGCCAAGAATAGGGCCAGTAAATGGGAGAGACTGGGGAATAGAAAGAAAGCAACACAGTGAACATTAGAGGGTACAATATTTAAACCACTTTTCTAATCCTGAATCGGTGTTCATCTCCCATTCATCTGGCTGTGGCTTCAGATTCCTCCGCCTGACGAGTCACTACAATTCCAGCCTGATGAACTGAAGTCAATATGCCACAAAATTTCTCTCTGAGGACTGTTCCTAAAGAGCAGGACTTGCTGTGTACGGGCACATCCCTCACAGTCCAGCTCCATAAACTGAAACAGCCAAAGCTCAGTCGATCCGAGTGGTAACAGTCAGCATTCCTTCCTGCCAGGCAGTGTGGCCTGGTGGACAGAATAATGGATTGGTTCAGGAGACCAGGGATCAACTCTCAGCTCTGCCCCCAGCCTACTGGGTGACCTCAGGCAAGTCACTTCCCCTCCCTGTGCCTCAGTTTCTCCATCTGTAAATGCGACAAGAAAGCCGCTCACAGCTTGGGCTGTCAGCCTGGGGTGGTTCATGGTTGGGGGCTCCAGCTAGAGCCTGGCTGCCCACCAGGGTCCCGGCTCCCCATTCCCAGCCAGGCTGCTGCCTGAGCTCCCCACTCCCATCTGGGCTGTGCCTGCCTGGCTCCTCACTCCTAGCTCTGAGCCCGGCTGCACCGGGCAGCTCCCATGTTCCCAGCGAGGAACATGGAGCTAAGAACCCGGGGCAGCTGTGCTTGGATCGGGGAGCCAAGAGCCCAGGGGTAGCTAAATACAGGGGTGAACAGAGAGTTTAGCACAGCGGCTCTCAACCTCTCCAGACTACTGTACCCCTTTCTAGAGTCTGATTTGTCTTGTGTACCCCCAAGTTTCACTTCACTTAAAAACTTACAAAATAGGACATAAAAATGCAAGTGTCACAGCACACTATTCCTGAAAAATTGCTGACTTCCTCATTTTTATCTTAACTTTATAAAATAAATCAATTGGAACATAAATATTGTACTTACATTTCAGTGTCTAGCGTACGGAGCAGTAAAAACAAATCATTGTATATGAAATGTTAGTTTGTACTGACTTTGGCAGTGCTTTTTATGTAGCCTGTTGCAAAACTAGGCAAATA